TTTTTTTTTTTTTTTTTTTTTTTTTTTTTTTTTTTTTTTTTTTTTTATTATTCGTGCAAATTATGACCAATCGGTAAATATGCATCGCGTGCACTCACTCGCAAACTTGTAATGCAGTTGCTCACTTTTTGGAGGAAAAAAAAAAAAAGAAGCAACTGTTTTTACGCTGTACTCTCTGTGGTAACGGGATTTTGCAATATATATGCGCGAGCAAATAAACGCGATTTCACGATTCACGTATACACTCTGCGCAGCAGAACTAATGCAATACACTTGTGCCGCTGGGCGCACCCGCATCGCCGTTTCGTCTATTTTACGCAGTGTATAGGTATAATACAATATACATATGTGAACAACAACGAGACTAATGATGGCAAAAATACTACTTGACGACACGGCCCCGCCCTTTTAGCCATTTGGGGCTCATATTCACTTGTAGGGAAAAAAAAAAAAAAAAATTCAATGCAGCAGCACTCTCGGCGTGAACTCGAGCTGTACCCATTTATCGAAATGGGAAAAAAAAGAGAGAGAGAGAGAGAGAATCGAAAAGTGCACAGCGAAAATTGCGCCAATTGCCATTGTGTACGGCGACTCTCTCGGACGATTTAACAGAGAATACAAAAAATAATGGGGGAAAAAAAAAAGAAGAAGCGAAGCAACGACACGGAGCGAGATAACCATAGGAGGGGGGGACGAGAATGAGAAAGAAAGAGGTGGGGGAGGGATGCTGACTTTCGCGCGAAAATTTTTTTTCCTTGCCAGAGTTTTTGCGAAGAAGGGAGGGAGGAGAGAGAAAAAAAAAAGAAAGACATTGGGGCACTTGCAGCGAACAAGTGCGTCGTGTCGTCGCGCCACAACAGTCCGCGGCCGCTGTTGCTGATATGCTCTTTGGCGAAAGTATAAGAAATAAAAAAAAGCAAGTGCACTGCACGTACAGAAGAAGAAGAGGGGAAAAAAGCGAGAAAAGGGCGGGAGGAAAGGAAAAAAGGTACGACCCCATCCGGCGAGGATATATAATATTTTCAGGTCGTCGTCCTCTCTCGCTCTCTTTCCTCTGCGGCGTGCAACTATAACAGCGAGAAGAAACAGCATATAGTATATACGTATGGTAGTTTCTCGTCTCGACAACTGACGGCACGGCGCTTCTTTCTTTCGATCCTATTATTGCGGTACTCATACGAGTATGTTTCGAGTTTACTGTTAAGCGGCCACTTATACCTACACTTCTCTCACTCGTATCGCTATTATGTATACGTATGTGTGTGTGTATAGCTCCGCTAGTTCGCATCTATTGTGGGTATATTATGTATTACCATTAGAGAGTAAGCTCGCAAGCCTTTCTTCTGTTACAATTTTAGTTTGCAGGACATCAGGTCGATTTCCTTTGTGATGGGGACATTTTGTGCAAACCAACAATTTCCGTTCATTTGGTGATTCACGATGAATCGTAATATGTATTTTGTTTCGTTGACCAAAAACCGCGCGCTCCAAACATCTCTCGCCGCGTGAAAGTATATACATGTATTATATTGTACAATTTATACGTGTACAAGCACAAAGTGAACCAACGAAATTTCGAGGCGCGCTTTATAACAATAAGTATATGATATATGCGTATAGTATACAGCAGGACAATGATTTTCGAAAAACGACCCATTGTTTCGAAACACACCGCGCGGCACATATTATATACCTTACAAAAGTAATCTCGAGAGCAAAGGCGACTCTACGCGTGTATGTTTATTGTACGGTATGTATACAAACATCATATTATCTGCTCTCGTTTCACAGGTAACGCGGGATTATATAGGTATACCATCTATATCTGCGGGCGACGAAAATGTTTCCCTTTAAACCCACCGACACCACCACCGTCGCGTCTTTGGAGTTTTTCTCTAAGATCCCCCCCTTTGGAGAATCCTAAGCCGATAATATTCAGCGAAAATATTGTTCGGGCCTCGGCCGTATCTTATCGGCCCATCCGCGTGTCGTTCGACTTTCGCCTCCAAAGGTCGGTGAGGGAAGGGGAGGGATAAGCCGTGAGTTATCTGTATATACAGCCTCTCCTCTCCCCGCAAATGAGAGGTGGTATACATTCATACACGTATTGAGAAAAGGTGGAAGAGAGCCAGATAAAGATTATACATCTTTTCCAAAATATAATTCCGGACGATGATGAGCGAGACGAGGGTCATATATAATATGCACACTACCGAATACCACTCCACCACTCGGGTATTTACACCATATCTCGACGGCCGATCTCGAAGAATATACTTATACCCCCTTGTACCTATGCGCCTCGGCGTCATATTATACGTACATATATACCTACAGCCGTTTTCAAAAGTCTCGAGATGAGACCACGGACTCCCTTTGCGAGATATATCCGTGTGCTATAATAAGCAACAGCGGTGCCGACGACGAACGGTCCGTAGAGGTAAATCGTATATACATGTACAGGATTCTCGTTCCCTCTTTTTTTGTGATTTGATCACGATACGATGATCGTAGCTTGAGGTACTCCAATTTTTGTAAACAATTTGGTTTGTCAAATAATAAAAAATCCATCTCGTGACGCTCGATTACAATTGTTATTCTCAATGACATTTTTATATCATACGTTATTGTGTGGAAAAACATAGGATGCATACCTACTGTACGATGAACAAACAATATCAATTTACTACGTGATCGCGCGGCAGTAAGTAAAAGATAACAAAGATAACGAAATGATAATGATAACACTCGGAACATTAAAAAAATACAATCAAAGAGGAAAAATTGAAAAATCGAGACAATTTTCAGGGAAGGAAAGGAAAAAGCACGTCGAGCCGACTCGATCGCCTCTATTTCTCGCATGTTATTTTTGTTGTTATACACCGGCCGCGAACTTTGGTCGCTGCTGTACACACCTTTCACGCGAGAATCTCATTTTCCTGCTTCTTATATACCGTCGTGGTTGGTGGATTTTTTTTTCTTTTTTTTTTTAATGTGACTTTCTCATTTTAGCGCCCACAAAGGCTACAGCTCCGCGATGAAAGGACTCTTTCGAGCTTGCGGCGTCATTTTTCTACCATTAGGAGGATTTTTTTTTTTTCTTTTTCTCACGAAAGTAAGAAGGAGTAGGATGAGGAGGTGTTTTATAGCGTATACGTACACGGGGGTGGTATACCTCGTGAAAGAGCGCCACCAAAGTTTTTGACGAGGAGGAAGGGAAAAAAATTAAAAATTCTTCCAAGCGCTGTAAATGTTTCCCTTCACTCTTACGTGAGCTTAGATGAGCCACAACACACAACTATCTGGCGGATGAAAAGCCATGGCAGCACCTTACCCCGAACTGTACGGATGCACCGTGGAATTTCATTTCGGAGGGCGAAAAGATATACTTACGTAAACGTAAGCGCGAAGTGCATTACCTCGAGACGTACGGGACAGCGTGGATGGGTATACGTATGCTCCAACATTTTGCGCCACTAAATTATTCAGGGGAAGCCTTCGGCTCTGGTGCGCGGCCTCGTTGTATTTTCGGGAATAAGGAGAGAAAAGCTACTTTGCCGCGTTGCGTTACCAGAGAGCACTGTGTACAGTATACCTACTCCGAGCGCGACCCGCGACGTCTCTGGATTATGGTATACCTACATATTATGTGTACATTGCACAGAGGTGGAGAGACGCTGCACTTTTTCCCAGGATACACGACGCGAGGGGATCGGGGTTTATATGCTCCTTACTCTACAATCAATGGTAATTTTTTTTTTTTTTTTTTTTCGTGGTGCAAAAAATGATTTTTAGGATTAAAAATACTCATTTTTTTTTTTAATGACTCCTTTGATATATGTTGTATTTTTTTTTCTTTTTTTCTTAACCCCAAGACAAAGGTGTTGCCAAACAAACAAAAATCAGGCCATGGCATAACGAAGGCATTACAATTTAAAAGACCATTGGGATACAAACAAAAAAAACAATACTTTCTAATGTACAGAGAGTCATTCGATTACTTTGTTCAAGTCATATGAAAAAAAAAATCGCACAAAAGACTCTCAGCGATACTCCCGAGCCACTTTCAACGTGTACACGTCATAAGCCACCTGCAGAAGTAGTGGAGTTGGGCAAACACAAACTCCGGGGCATGCACACACTCGTCCCGGTAACGCAGAGAAAAAAAAGCTCACACTTGAGCTGCGGCAGCTTGCAAAAGCTCGTCTCTGCTCATCGTTCCCCCTTAAACGTCGCCGTCTCGGTTTATATACATACATACACACCAGCTGCTCCACACACGCGGCCGCGATTACAGTATGTGTGTGTATACATATAGTTGGGTACACCGTGTCATTCCCCAAGAGAGAGCCGAGGCCAAAAGAGCCAGGAGACGTCGTCAATTTTTCACGGCGCCTCTCCTCGGCTGATGCGCGTTTCACGAGATTAGTGTGTCCCTCTGGGCCCCTCCCCCACCCTTTTCTCCTTGGAACGTCTTTTGAATACCCGATGACGACGGGGCGGAACAAAACGCTTATCTTATCGCCCAGAGAAAGATTTTAAATTCCTGACGTTACATTAAATCGAACGATGCTTTTATCTTCCGGGGATAAAGGAAGGCTTTTATTTGTTACGATCGAAGCTGTCACTTTCAATGATCCCCCCCCCCTCCCCTCGCCTATTATTACTATTCAATACCATTATAATTGAGACACTCAAAGATTCATGTGCTTTTTTAATCAAGAGGCATCGTTCGCTCAAAGGAGCACACCCACCCGCCCTTATCAGTTTGTGCATATATGTATGAAAGACGGTTGAAAAAAAGCTCTCTTGGATCCGTAAAATCACAGTCCTCGCGATTCGTGTGGGTGTACGTGTAGCGTACCAATAGTCGCGCGAGACTCAAAGGCCTGGAGCTTTTGACGCAGCGAGCCGATATAAAAAAAAAAAAGTGAGGGAGACCGGGAAGGAATCAATCCCAACGGCAGCTCGATCGCCCTTTTTCTCTGCTATCGCGTGGAAAAATAAACAATCGGTGCTACTTGCGTTTGCAACGTCTGGTGTATATATATATATATGAATACACACGAGCGCGGGTGCGCTTCTTTCGCTTTGCCGGCGGCTGCCGCGGTTGCTCTTTCATGGCTCGCTTGCTGCGAAGATGGCATTTAGTTGTATATGTATATATTTACGTGTGCGGGAGATACTGTGAAAGAGAGAGCCTCGTTACATCAACGAAAAAAAAGAAAAAAAAGAAAAAAAAAAAAAAAACCAAAATGGCAATTGGGCACGAGATTGGCACTTTTTTTTCAACAGATGCTGATCGGAATTATGAAAATTACACTAAATACAGAGCTTGCGAGTGATTCTTGTTTAATTTTAAAATTAATGTCTAGAACAGCAGTTACGACACACACGCTGTTTAAGATTTACTCCTTGAATCGCACCATTGTTTTTATTCAGATAACATGATTGCCATTCGACAAATCTAATTGGGATTTTTTTTTTTTTTTTTTTTTTTTCTTTATTTCTCGCATTGTGTACTTATGACCGGACATTGTTGGAAAAAAAGCAAGTGATTAATTTGGCGCGTACGAGCAAATTGGAGAAACGATGGTATTTTTTGTTTCTGTGCTCGATCAATCGTCCGATTGTAGCCAGGTAATGGAAATAAAAATAAACGCTCGTGGCTTCAAAAAAAATTAAAGAACCAGATGATGTATACAATATAATATACATCAGGAGATTGTTTGGTCGCTGTATGATCACATTGTACCGAAACACTGTAAGCAATACCTCTCATGACCGAGCACGTGTAAAAACTCGAGCTTACAAAAGGGAGCCCTTACAATCAGTCACAGGGTATGTTTCTGTATTGTATAGCAAATGACTCGATCTGTACTTGTACTTCATTCGCGTCAGATTTACACAATAGAGTAACACGAATGTTGTACGTATGTTGGTAATATACTTACTTGTGTTCATTACCAACGGGTGTGGATTGAGAAATGGTTTTATTAAAGGGAAAATTTCGTGTCTCCAGCCTCTTTTTGAAAGCTGGTATCAAATGTTGCAGAAGGTCCTACCAACACGATGTACAATGTATTTTCATCGACAATTGTACAACAATTTGTCGTGGGATTGTTGAAGAGTCGATAAATGCCTTTCGCCTATTTTACAACCACATCAGAATAAATTTGTCCCTAGTAATTTATGAATGAATACTTTTGCGGCAAACTAATTCTAAAATTGAAAAGTAAATGTCAATCAACGAATCATTGCCAACGGTCACGCAGAACAAATGAAACTAATGTTACTCGACGTAAATTCACAAAAAATTTAAATTTGAACGAAATTCCCGCGCGCTTTTTAGAACCCAAAGCTTTCTGCTTCCGCCGCAACGATCGCGCCATCATTTGAAAAAAAAAAAAAAAAATTATTATTAAAATAAAAAAACACAAAACTAAGAGAAATAAGTAACAACAATCTCAAGTACTGATCCCTGCTTTTAAAAAATTAATAATTACATTTTACACCAAGGAAATGAAACTGAACGAATCGTTTTTAAAATGTCACTCCACAAGTAAATAGAACCTGCAGATCACCACACAAAAGCTTAAATCACAACCGATTGCATTAAAAAATCTCTCGATAATCAATCTTGCACGCAAAGCTAACCAAAAGCGACGGCAGCCATATTGCCGATTTCCCGATGTCCACGTCTCTCCTACTTTTCCTAATTGTTGGGTCGAGGTCGATAAAGACTTCCTAACCTCTCTGTTCATTGACACTTAGTATATAATATACATGCATGTATTTTGGTCGATCACCGCTGCAGTCAAGAATGTCAGGATGTTGAAGCGTCGACGAAGATGTACGAGTAGCGCTCGGTAGGGGGTAAGTGTGTAGCGTCCACAGGGAAACGATGTATATATAGTACGACATCCACGTGGTCGTAAGGGCGAGGGAGTAAGTGCGAGAGGGAAAAAAAATACATGCACGCATTTGACACACGTAAAATCTCTTGGAGACTTCCGTTCGGGCGCGCGCCGCCAACAGGAACAGGAAGTCGCTCTGATGCTTGCACGTCGTGAGCGCCGCTTTTGTCACGAACCGGCAAATGCCAAGCTTTTGTTGTACAGCTCTTAATTTCAAAGTTTAATCAAGGCGTCTTTACGATGAAACTGCGCTTATACGGGTATGAAAAAATTGGGGCTCGCGATGAGGAGATTGTCAAATTGTCAAGCACGAAGTACAAGTAATCTCCAAGTACATGAGATTGACACCTCGTCGGATTTTGGAGCTCCGACGCGGTAGCGGCTTGCGACGTACGGTCGTTTTTGCTGTGTATTTATCTGTCTGCAATGGGTCAGTATCGTATGATTCTTAAACTAATAGATAATAATGTTAACTCGTGGTAATGATAATCCACTAATTGGATTTTTAGTCGGCTCATAAAAGTGTTGGTGCTGTCATTTAGGTACATGGAACATGGCTTGTGTTGCAAATAAAAGCTGTGATTACGTTGATGAAAACTCGCTCCTTAGTTTTTTTATCATGAACTTTTTTGTAGTTTTTAACCATAAGTACAACACTTACATTTTTTCTCAACGGTACTTAACTGATAAAATCGTATTTCCAGATTTTTGGAAGAATTTGAAAGATAAACCCAAAGGTGTGATCAAAACAAAATGCAGGCCGAAGCTGCAAACTTATGTACCATGGAGGACTTTGATGCCACCTTGATACCAGTGGAGATTTTACCCTGCGATGTGACAAGGAGTAGACCAATGGATTCCCAGTCCATCGTTGAATTGGGTAAACAACTACTGGAATGCGCCAAAATTGGAGATACAGATTTGGTTAGGGACCTCATGTGTAGAGGTGCCCCATTCACAACGGACTGGGTAAAATACTATACTTGACCATTAAGGTATTGCAAACATGCTCAACTTGGTAACTTTTTTTTCGATATTACTTAGCTTGGTACTAGTGCCTTACATCATGCAGCTCAAAATAATCATTTGGAAACAGCTGAAGTACTGCTAAGAGCTGGGATATCCAGAGATGCGAGGACCAAGGTCGATCGGACACCTCTGCACATGGCAGCTTATGAAGGTCACCATCAAATGGCTCAGTTACTTCTAAATTATGGAGCTGAAGTGGACAGCAGAGATATGGTATGTCCTTTAATGCTAAATCATTTGACTTGTATTCTTTATTACATAGATTAAAACAAACAAAAAATTTCCATGCTGTACACCTACTTTTTCTTTGACATTGAGTATCCATAATTCGTTTCAGCTAAAAATGACACCCTTACATTGGGCTGTAGAACAAGAGCACATTGAAGTACTGCTCATATTACTAGAAAATGGAGCTAATCCCCATTCTGTGTGTAAATTCAACAGAACGCCTCTCACCCTTGCATTAGAGCATCAGCGGTTAGATTTTATTGAATTACTACAGCAAGAACGAGAAATGGTCAATATACAACAAGAGGAGCTTGATTCAAGTGATATTGAAGTGGCAACGCAAAATCTGATGCAATTGGAAGCTGAACGTCAAAGAGAGGAACAAGAGCGCATTGAAATAGAACAACAACAACAACAAGGTAAGATTTTGGACAATTATTTTTTCATAACTTTGCTCTAAAGGTAATATTTTGAACTCGACCTTTCAATTCTAGAAACAGCCAGTGCCAATAAAAAACAAAGGTTAGTGTATCATCCAGTAGCTCATCCAATGGTAGACACAATGAATGATGAAGATGAGCAATATTTTACTGAAATTCACCATTCAAACATACAAGAGTTTTTGAAAGAAAATGGTCTCACGATCATTGATAATGATGCCACTATTGTTGAAAATGCCATGGAAAGTGGCCATCATGTTGTACTTACAGGTATATAACAACAAACGTAGCGCGTTTTTCATAAATTATCTAATATTGATGTTCCACATAAACGTTAAAGCATACATTTTTTGTAATAGAGGCAGGCAAATTAGCTCTTACACAAACCAAGCCTATCAATGTAACTCCCAGAAAAAAGGTACAACTTAATCCTAAGAAAGAAAGTTCAAAAAAAATTGTGAAACTCAGGACTGATCAAATAATGACACAAAGTCCACCTTCTGAGAGCACATCAAAAGGACCAAATATTTTGAAAAGGAGTGGTAACAATGAAATGAAACGTGGAAAGAAAATTATTCTTACGCCAATCGCACCAATGCCATCCACGTCTCAAATGTTTAATGTAGCTGACAACAGTACTGCTACAACATCCAACGTTAGGGTACATTATTTTTTTCATCTAGTTTTTGCGCAATCAATAAATCATATGTTAAATAATAATTTTTACTATTTTTCGCAGAATAATAATGTGAATGTGTTAAAGTCAGAACCACTAATATTTCACATGGAAGATAAAAGTATCGAAAATATTTTCGAGATAAACAGTGAAAAAGAGCAAATCACAAACATAGATGAGCTTAATAGACAATTAGCACAGGCTCGAAAACAAATCAAAGAATACCGGAGAAAATTGAAAAAGAAGGAGGAAGAAGTTGAACTTTATAAGAAACAGTTACAGATTTTAATGAATAAGAAAACTTTGAAGTGATTTCTACAGTGCCTGATTACTCAAAACTTATGAGAGGAAATATTAAATTTATACTAGTTATCATACATGAATTGTCTTTCTCGTTGAAAGATGAAAAACTTTGGATAGTCAAACGGTGTGTTTTCCTAGAGAATTTTTTATTTGTAATCTAATAACTGTTACACGTATGATTTATGGTCATATGTTGCATGTATATATATATATTGTGTACATATCGAAGAACGTAGTAAAATAGTCTTACAATACACACCTTAATAGTCAGCTTTAACAAACTAAGATTCAGTTTTAATATGTCTAAAGAAAGTATATTTTTTTTACATTTCTTTTTTATAAAAATTTATACATAATAATATGATTCT